AGTCTCCAACCTCATGGCTCGTGTCATGCTACTTCCATCGATAGGATGAGCAACATCCAATGAATCTTTGGCTAGAACATGGAAATATACACTACCTGGTTGAATGTGGCCGACCGCGTCATGCTACTTCCAGCGATAGGATGAGCAGAATTGAATGAATCTTCCCCTAGAACATGGAAATATACACTACCTGGTTGAACATGGCTGACACCTTCGACGGCGCGGCACGAAGAAAACCAGTAGCGAAAAAAGAGCCCGTTCATAAATTCGCGCCAACACCAACCCCAAAAAATCAATGGCAGTAAACAGAAAACCGCGTCGGACCCACGAAGCCGCGCCAACACAAACCCCCCAAAAAAAACGGTCGTTAACAAAAAACAGCGCCGGGCCCGTGGTGCATGGGGCCCGCGCGCGAAAAAGTCTCAACGGGACGCGTCATGCGAGACCCGCGTCTTGCTTTAGAGTATTAGGGAAGAAGAGGCATATGATAGGGCAGTTCCTTATGCGTTTTGTTTCTTTTGTGCGTTTTTCTTTTTCTGTTTTTGCGGGCGAAGCCGCAACGGGTCATCTAGTCCTGTATCGCAACGGGTCATCTAGTCCTGTATCGCAACGGGTCATCTAGTCCTGTATATATTGTCTGAAATGGCTTTGAGAGAGTAAGGAAGTGTTAAGTTTGTAGAAGCTCCTACCCTTGTCAGGAGGTTTCTTTGTAAACGATAGTAGCAGTGCGCAAGGAGTCATGTTTATATTTAGTTGAGTGTCAATATTCCCATACATCCTGTATGTATTGTCTGAAATGGCCTTGAGAGAGTAAGGAAGTGTTAAGTTTTTAGAAACTCCTGCCCTTGTCAGGAGGTTTCTTTGTAAACGACAGTAGCACTGCGCACATCTTGTGATCAGCCCCCGACCATGGACTTCGAGGGAATATGGCAGCCCAGAGCAAAGCACGATCCAAGTCTTCAGACATTAAGATTAAGTCTATCCTTGACCTGGATTGAACAGAAGTACCACAATTACGAATACAAGTAAATAAACGTTCTCGAGGGAAGCTACGTCTATGTGTTATACGGGTGTTCCACCTCGCATAGTCGTATGATGTTTTCATCCTCCTCTATGTACAGTGGACAAGGAATGAGAATTTTCCATCGATCCAACCATCTATCAAGAGCCGCGTTGAACTCCCCTGCCATGATGAATGGAATCCCATTAGGGATTTGGGCCTTAATTGTTTGAAAAAAATAACTCACTCTTGGACTTCATTAGGTTCATAAATATTAATGACCCATACAATTTCGATTTCTATCATCACAAGAGCTGATACCCAGCAACCCTGCTCCATATCTGCTGCTTAGTGTACTATTTCGACCCTTGATCCGGGTGGAACCCAGATGGCTATTCCTCCTTAACCACTACGTGGAGCTGGGGAGCATACTTTGTAGAACGGCCATACTATATTGTGTGCTCTAGAATGGGCAGGGGAATCAGTGAGGTGGGTTTCCTGATGCATATTAGATCTGGCCACGAGCGACCACCCACTCCTTATGAGTTGTTCCAGAATGGCCCTTCTTTTCTTAGCATATGTCGTGGCTAGCCTGTTAACATTAAGAGATCTTAAATCTAAATCTGTCGTCTTAGTAGCCTGGATCCAAGATGGATTCTTCCCATAAAATGCATGCAGTGCTTCCATCCCTGACAATGGATTTCCTCTTTCTCCTCCTTAGTTCATAGATGTGCCCAACTACCATTGTCCAAATCAAAGGAGGTTTGTAAAGTACCCCTGCGCAGGATAGAACACAAGAAAGCCACCACCTCACCAAACAGAATTGGCCTTGACTTTGAGGTACTGTAGTTCTAGTAAGGCCTGGTGAGTGAACCACTTGAGGCCAGCATCTTTTTGTTCTTCAAACCTCACAAAAGTTTCTCTCTTGGCAATCTGTGCTCTATCCTCCAGTTCTGTGAGGGTGGCCTGAGGACCCGGCTCATAGTGCTTAGACAAGAATCATGTAGATCTCTTTTGAAAATCCGATCAGTGGCACTATGGTATTCCACATGCGTGGACCATCCCCTCAGGGTTACACCCCCGTCCTGATCATTCCGAATTGGGGAAAGTCCAGTTTCCCACTTCCCCCCCCGCTTTTTACGCACCGGTAAGATCAAGTTACCCTTTGGTACCTGAGGTCTGGATATCTGCCCTTTTTCTAACATATGCCTCAGTTTCTGCCTTTTGCCTGAGTCTTGTGAAACTGGCATAGGGAAAGAGACCAGACCTTGCACCCCTTGCTGACCCGGTAATGAAGGGCTCTCAATCTGGTGAGTGGGAGGGATTGGTTTTTGTGATGTAGGTGGATGTTGTGACAGCAGTTGAACTTGCTGAGGCTGCTGCTGGAGCTGCAGCCCCTTCTGCTGCGACAACTCTTGCTTTTGCTGCTGATAAGGGTGTTGTTGCTGTTGCCCTAACAGCTGCTGCTGCTGCTTCACCAGATTTAGCAGCTGTTCCTGCTGCTGTTGCTGTTGGCCCATCATCTGCCGGCCCCCCAGCAACTGCTGCTGGTGGCACTGTTCCAGACTAATCAACGGTTGTTGTCTCCCCAGCAGCTGCCCCACCTGAGACTGTTGTGGGTGGGGCTGCAGATTTTCATTAGTATTCGGGTTGTCTCCCTCTCTCTATATGGGACTGTTATTGGTATTATTATTATTATTTTTAACGTTATTAGTATTATTTGCAAGGAATATGAGCGAGAGGGATAGACAGAAATCCAAGTTGCAAAATCACGAAGTAGCCCAGATAGTCATGAACCAAGCAGAGAGCTCAATGCACCAAGATACCATACAAATAAGAGCAATACAATGGACTCGAATGTCAATGCCGCCACTCTCTGGTCACACCAACACTGTATCCAATGTCGCACTCACTGTCTGGCGCCCAGCCTATCCTACTCAGCCTATCTAGCCTATCTACGGTCTTGCAACTGGATCACTCTGAAGTCGAAGACCAATGTACGTGATGTCAACACCAATGCCGACCACCAGCATACACCAGGTATGTTCTCCCTCCTCCCCTCATCACCCCTTGGACCCCGACCTGATGTGCTTCCTACCCGAAGACCACATTCGTCATCACCTGGCGTGCGCCCCTGCAGCCCGGCTATGGCTGCCGTGCGCCCGCTGCCCTTGCAGCGCCCCTCACCTCACAGCGCCTGCGTGCGCCCCCAGCCTGCCAGCGCTACGCAGCGCTCACTTGGCACCGCAGCAGCGTGGCAGCAATGCCTTGGCAGGCCAGAAAGTCTTCCCCAGGCCAGGGCACCTTCCTTTATGGAAAGTCTGGCCTTCCTTTGGCTGCATGGGCCTGGCTGAGGAAGTCTCCAGTAGCTTCCTGTCTGGCCCCAGTGTCTGCGCCCAGGGCCTCCTTTGCTGTTACTGGCCTGGGCCCTTTACAGTTGGGCTCATCCAGGCCGACGTCCAGGCTCAAGTGTTTGCCGCATTCTCATTGGCTTGCGGTCACTGTGTGACAGCAATGCTGCTTTTTCATTCATCCGTGGCCGCTATGTGATGTGTTGGCCTCATACTGCATTTGCCCAGGGCGTAACCACCTAGCCCTGGGCTCAACTGCACAGCGCAGCCCTTGTTTCTGGGAGGAGCCTGAAGGCAGACGGTTCTCTGTAGCCAAGTGGCGTGCTGCAACTGTCTGAGTACCCCCATATGGAAAAATGTCGAAAATTAGGCCACAAGTGGATATTCAGGCCCGCCTTCACTTAGGGCGGGCACAAGGCTTGCTGGGGCCTTAACCCAGAACACATGCATGTATGATAAGGGCCCCGCGAGGGCTCATTCCTCGCATATTATTATTATTGATCCTAATGTTATTTTTACTTTCTTCCAAATCCGTACCGTTTATCTGATGAACCAAAAAATGCATTTTGCCGAGCTTGCTTTTGACTGGTACCGTGAATTGGCTAATCTAAGCTGGTACTGGTACCAGTGACCTATGTGACAAAAAGGACAGGCAGGCAGGTCTCATCATTGTGGGCACTTACCTCTTTACTGTGGGCCCACCAGTTGACCCACATTGAACCTCCACTGGGCCTGGGCACTGTAGATTTTGGCCTGGTACTAGTCAACGAGTAAAAACTACAGTGCCCCCTGCTGTTGGACCGGTGGTTTAAATAGAAACTTGATCGCGCTAACTGGGTCCCAAAGTCACGGTCCCAAATTATATCTACAATGCACTTTGACAGACCAGTGGTCCCCTAAACAACTTTGAAAAACAAAAATCAAAAGGTCAAATTCATGCTCACTACAAGATGGACATGAGTCACATGACCAACATCTGCAGAAAGAAAAAGGTCCGTCAGTTTTTTTTTTTTTTTTTTTTTTTTAAAATCCGTTTGAGATAGAAGGCTGATAATTGCCACAGTTATCAGAAATGCAGTTGTGGGAAATCCATGGAGCGGATTTTCTTTTCTATTTCTCCTTTCGTTTTTCCTTTTTTTTTTTGTCTGGATTCGGACTTGGGTCTGTATTTCAGCAGTTCAGGGGTGTACTTTTCTTTTTCTCCGCGAATTTGAACAATTTTTTTTGTAAAAATGATTCCTCTCTCTCTCTCTCTCTCTCTCTCTCTCTCTCTCTCTCTCTCTCTCTCTCTCTCTCTCTCTCTCTCTCTCTCTC